TCCTCATGTAACTTAGAAAATTCGTTTGATCGATTATGAACTAATGACGGACGAGAAGAACAAAAGATTGGTATTGTTTGGAACGCACGCAGGATATGCAGGTGTGTTGTATTTTTGTTAAACTTTCTTAAAATATCTAGCATACCAACTGCCTTTTTCCTGTTAGGAATGATCGACGGTCTTCACGGCCTCGGACTGAGACTTTTGGGGTTAGGTTACAACACGCCTTTCATGGTAACAAGGAAAAAATCATTTCTGTGAATGACCATGCATTAGCCCGATTATACTGATAAATCTTTCTTATTAGCACGTCGCCATGTCTCATACAATGTAGGAGATGCAATTGCCGCAGATGGCCTCCCTAAAGATTTTGGTCCAATGATATTTGCCTTCACGGGAACTGGAAATGTTTCTAAGGTGAGCCCCTAACTTGGATCATGTTGATATCTTTAAAAGAAACATTTTTTTTAAAAAAAAAATATCATCTGTTAACAAACATTAGGGCGCACAAGATATATTTAGAAATTTGCCTCATGATTACGTCGAAGTAAAAGATTTGCCAAAATTGATAAACTGTAAGTACTTAAACTACTGTAGTACGAAATAAATCACGTGACAACATACGTAAAGAAAATTACACCCTTCTTTATTTTATACAGGCAAGGATTCGGTTAATAAGATATATGGATGTAATGTTCAATTGAAAGACTACATAACACCAAAAGGAAACGGTAAATTTGACAAGCAACACTATTATTCCCACCCGGAAGAATATGTGTCACATTTCCACACAAAGGTTCTCTAAAATTCATTGTCATGTAATCAACATCACTTGACACCATTCGAAGCCTTCTGACTATTTCTGATTACGTTATACGTCACCAGGTCGCCCCTTACGCGACGATGCTCATACATGGATCTTATTGGGATACGAGATTCCCAAGATTAATAACCACGAGTCAGTTACGCGCTTTACAATCAAATCCTAACCTTAAACATCGACTGTTAACCGTTGCTGACATAAGTTGTGACATCAATGTAAGATATTGATTTTTCCGTAACAAGTCACGTTTCATAGTAAGTCTGATGAAAAATTTTCTTCCAGGGGGCACTGGAGTTTCTTTCTCATTCGACGACCATCGACGATCCATTCTACTACGTCGACGCAGTAAATGGCAGGGAACACAAAAGGTAGAAATCATAATTTTGATGTTTAGCGAATGATTCATCATCTGAACTAACTAAACTTTCAGGGATGAAGAGAGAGGGACACAAATTATGGCGGTGGACATATTGCCTACTGAAATCCCTCTTGAAAGCAGCAAGCACTTTAGTAAATCCCTTTATCCATACCTCAATGACCTGGTTGGTTATTTGTTATTTCAAATCCGTGCTCTTAGCATTTGACAAACCATCTTACCTCGATAACATTAGGTAAATGGAACTATCGATTCTAATCCAGTACTTGCACGTGCCACGATAACAAGGGACGGGAAACTCGTATCACCACACGAAAAGCTATACGATTTACTACCTAAGAATAACATTAACGCTGCTGAAACCGCTCCAAACGTTGTTAGAAAGGATAAAAAGAAGATTTTATTGCTTGGCAGTGGATTTGTTGCAAAGCCATTAATAGATTATTTGGTTAAGCAAAAGGATTTTGAGTTGACCATTGGTAAGTCTGTTTTCTATACCGTAAAGCGTGTATAAGTGTGATTTTAATAAAATTTGAACTTTTCAGCCAGCAATATAATTGCTGAGGCTAACGCCTTGGCCAGAGGAGACGAAAGAATCAAAGTTGTTGAACTGGATGTTAAAAATAATATCAAACTTTCGGAATTGGTTAAAGGATCAGACGCCGTGGTGAGGTCTGTATAGATTTGGATTCCGATTGGGAGAATGTTGATTGAATAAAAGCAATTTGATCATTTCTCTGATATATGTGATCATTCTACTAACACTTTGTCTAATAAATCGAATAGTCTCATTCCAGCATCATTGCATCATATTGTAGCTGAAGCGTGTATATTATACAAGAAACATATGATCACGGCAAGTTATATATCTCCGGAAATGAGAGAATTAGATGACAGGTATTAAGTCTACCATCTTAAGTTTGAACTTATTAAACGGAATTCTTAGGCAATCATCTGTCTCTACAGGGCAAAGAATGCGGGAATTACATTACTTAATGAGATAGGCGTGGATCCTGGAATTGACCATTTGTCAGCCATGAAAATTATAGATGAAGTAAAAGCCGAGGGTGGCGAGGTACTCTTTTTTTTCTTCGTGTAAAAATCCAAATCGTCTTTTTAGCTTACTTTTTAATACAATAGATAACTTCATTTACGTCGTGGTGCGGTGGATTGCCGGCCCCAGAAGCCTCTGATGTTCCATTGGGATACAAATTTAGTTGGTCACCTAAGGGTGCCTTACTGGCTGCATTGAATAATGCACAATTTTGGATGGACGGAGAGGTAGGAAATTTCGACAATTATCTGACCAAGAACCCTGGCGAAATTAATTGTTCCACTTTTATTTTTTGCTTTCGAACAGCTCCAAAGAATAACCGGTGAGAATTTGTTGAAACACCATTTTCCAAATGTACCTATATACCCCGGATTCGCGTTTGAAGGTTTGGCAAATAGAGATTCTCTATCATACCTTGAAACCTATGGACTGCATCCCTTGGAAAGTAAGAAGTCTCTGTTTAGAGGGACCCTTAGGTATAAGGTTCGCATGATATGCCATGATATTCGCAAAATCGATAACGAATGAATGTGTGAATGATTAACTAAAAGTATCTTGCAACAACAGGGATTTTCTGATTTGATGTACTCGTTCTATAAAATTGGATTGTTGGACGTTAAGCCACAAAGGTTTCTTTGTCACACATGGGTTTGTCTTTATCAGAACAATCATCTTTCTATCATTTTTATATTTGAGAACCAACCATTACATGTTATGACATCTGTAGCCGGAATTTCTTGACAATCTGTTATTTGAAGCGCCTCGATCAAATCTAAGTGAATCTTCCAGAATGTCGGCTATTTCACAAAAGTTAGACTTGCCCCTTAATCACCACATGGTGGAAACTGTTGCGAACTCTTTGAAATGGTAAATTATTTATGCCATGTTGTCCCCGAATATTAATTTCATATTTTTCATAAAATTCCACCTTCATCGTCCCTAGGTTGTCGCTGATTCAGACGCAAGATACTCTGTTACCAATTACACGAAAATTTCAAGAGCCAATATCCCCGTTGGATTTATTCTGTGTACTATTACAAGATAAATTAAAATATAACCCAGGAGAGAGAGATTTGTTGGTGTTGCACCATGAATTTGGGGTTAAGCTTAAGAACGGACACGAGGTACCACGCAATGCATCAAAATTATTATTTCGCACTTTTAACTAATTATGTAAATAATAGGAAAAGAAAGTCTCGACGTTGATAAGCTATGGTTCACCTGAAACATATACAGCTATGGCAAGGACGGTAGGATTGCCCGCTGCCATAGCAACCGAGATGATCTTACGAGGTAAAATACTCACATCGGTCATAATGTATTCTCTCTTCATGAATTTCAAAAATTTACATTTTTATTAATTTCTTCAGGGAATATACCAGAAAAGGGCGTCATAACCCCTACACTACCACATATCTACAATCCCATACTAGGGAAATTGGATGAAGAAGGAATAAAGATAGTCGAGTCCACTGCGAACAAAGAGATGAACAATAAGCTTATTTGGGATGGAAGCGGTATTTGGAAATGAATCACGCGAATATCTTCAGTAATATCTATAATTAAGACATGAATTAAGATAATTTTGAGACCATTTATCGACCGAGTCTCATATCCATATATAAAATGCATGCAATTAAGATTTTATTATTATTCCAATTCTTTTTTTTTTCTTTTTTTACGTTAATTTTTTATATTAATATATTCAGAAAATATAATGTCTTACTTATTAGTGAGGTTGTTAACTTATCGAAATTAAAGACAACACTATCGATTGTATGCAGTAATTATCTTCTTACAGTATCTATCAATACCTACAGATACCTGAAATAAAAAATTATTTAACAACACTTTACCACATGCTCGACCTGAAATGTCTAGTATATCAAAATTCTAAATAGTATTTTCGAATAATGACATTCGTGAACCCGCTTACAGTATACATAATGTTTGGTACGATT